AACCTATTTTGTCATTCTCTCTCCGAGTCTCTTCCTTTCCCCTTTGATCACAAACACCGGATCCCTGCATAATCCGAGCGAGAGTCGAGCTGCTCGCTCATCTTCTCTGTTCATCACTGTATAATACATCGAGGAGACGCTTTGACAAGTCGTAGAAGTTTCGGTCGAGTCATCAAGCGCGGTCTTAAGACTCAACTAGTGCTAAAACACCTGTAAAGTAAATGGGGAGGCACAATGGGATGTTTTAGGGATCCCTACAGGGAAGTTCTCTGCAGCTCGTGCTCTGACAGGTCGGTGGTCAGAACAGAGCAGGTACATTAGGGGTAGATATAGCTTCCGCTAGGATGGCTATAGCATTATGGGGTTTAAGAAACTCTGCATACAGAAGAAGGATTAGAGTAAAAAAAAGAACGGCAAGGACCAACAGGGATCGCCATTGGCGTAGCTCTTCCTCGTTGGAGAGCGCTGGAAGAAGAGAGGGGACTAAGGAACATGGATTTTGCGTAGCTGCTCTTGGATATGTTGGTATTTGTAAAACACCAGCGCAGTGCCCTTTCAAAAACGTGCCCTTATTTTCACAATAAGAGAGGTGGGGGAGATGCATATGACATGAGCATCAAATTTGGGGTCTGATTAGTTTATGTATTGTGTAGTTATTAACGTTAGCCCCTTAGACATTCGCTGTCTGGACGATCGTCTCACAATTACTCTGTGGAGCCTGCGGTCAACTGATAGTTATGTAAAGATGTCAAATGATATTTTCACTTTTCAGTATGGCTAAATCATTTCCTTAAAGACGCTGTACTTTGAGCAAATGTTACTCAAACAGATGTAAATATTGCATTTATTAATATTGAAACTATATTTTGTAATCATGTAATAAAGGAACATGTCATTCGGTGCAGCATAATGTTTTTATTACATTTTGGACAGCAATGGAGGTCTCTGGCTCAGGGGAATAAGATATATCAGGCTTTGAAGACAAGAACCATACTTGTTACTTTTGTTTTTTTCATGGGATTTGTTGACATGAAGAGAAATATAGAACATCACCAGCCTTATTCTTTAAACTGCACAGAGAAATAACGTTTCAGTTCATGCTGACAGTGAACATTCTCCAAATGATCATTTGAGCGTTTCTGTGGGACCTAAAGGCAATATACCAGAAACGTTTCACTCTGTCTGTACTGGACTGTCCAACAGCAGAGAAGTCTGGAAGTAAAAAAAAAAAAAAAAAAGGGCGGACACATCCAAAAACTTTATAATACGCTTGATCTTATTTGAATACTGATGAATTTTCCACCACCAGTGTCTTTAAGAACCACCATCAATAATGCATGTGGGATAGTCTGGGCACTGTTTGCTCCACTTATTCTCTTCAATCACAGTTAACTTTTTAATATTTCACTGCGGGTGGCCGAGGCCGATCCACTTCCCTCTCTTGGTCTTGTTTTTTTTTTAGCTTGGATCCCAAACATTGCCCTATTTTGGACTTTAAAAATATTCCTGATGAGGAACGACAGAGAGAGAAATGGCGGTTAATCGGAGACCACAGAGCTGCTTAAATATTAAATGGATGGACGGTGGTGACACAGAAAACACAATCTTCTTTTCCTTCAGCTTTGCATCCAAATCCAAATGGCAATTGTCTGGTCAACAAAACAGTCATGGGATTTAGAGTCTTAAAGCCCTCAGCATATTGGAGTTCTGCTCTGTGTGTGCTTGTTGTCTGTTTTCTTGATGTTGTCATCATACAAAAAATTGAAGTCAAGTCGACATACAAGCAGAAAGTCCAGTTTGACTTAAGTTCTTAAAGCTGCACCAATCAACATTTCTAAATTAACAATGGATCGAATCAGTCAGTGTAATGGGACAGCCTGGTCTCCTAAAAATCTCGTCCAAACAAAAGCGCTTTGTCAATGTTTTGAGGGATTTCTTCTGTATCACAATTATGTTTCTAATCAAAGGCTACAGAAGTCTGTGCAGGGAGGAGGATTTCTGAGCAGTAGACAGGTGTTTGTGTCCTATGTGAAACCAAAAGTCAACTCGGATTCATTTTTACGTTGCGTTAAATGTTTGATGTACGTTGTTTCGTAATGTTTCTATCGAGACGTAATCACCAGTTGCAGTTTAGTTGTATGGGGACGTCATTTTTAAAGAGACAGAGGTGAATGGTAAAGAGGTCGCTCATAGTCATGAAACCGAAGACAGTTATCACCCTTCAGCTCCACAAGGTGGATAAAGTGGCAACTGGCTATTGGGATGCCGATGTCGGTCGGTTGGTTTGTGCACCGCTTTGGGTCGGATTGAAATGCTTTTAACAACTATGAAATGGATTACCATTTCAATTTTGTACAAACATTAGTGTTTCCCTCAGGATGAACTGTAAAGGACATTCTACCCAATTGGTCTCATAGTTTGTGCAATCTGTCAGAAATCACTCACTTTATCTTTACATGAGTCATGAGAGAGTGTTAGAAAGAGGTTTGATTTACCAAAATGACCAACCACTCAGGAGACAGGAGGCCTCAGAGTTGACCCATATTGGGACGCCCTCCTGTCCTAAAAACACAGATAAACAACAGTATGGTTACTGATCCTGTTCATTTCAATAGTTTTGGTTCAAAATAAATGCAAATCAGGTGATGTTTTGCCTTTAAATCTCACCATTCCACTCAACCTTCTAGACTAGATTACAGTGTTTTTTCTCAGAGTATTGGTTGGAAATATCATTGCCACATGTAGATGTACAAAGCTGAACTTCAGGGTCGACATTTCACAATTTGAAAGCTGCCATCTTTCCATGTTTATGACATCACATGAAAACTGCATGTTTTCAGCTGTGGGTTTTACTGCCGGGCATTTAACCGCTCAAACCAATCAGCACATGAGTCATGACAGGGACACTGGGAGCCGCTGCGTAGGCCAGTAAACAGCGTTACAAAGCTAAGCAGCAGTATCTGGATGTGACTTGACTTCAGCTCTTTTTAATACGGCGTAGATGATTGCACATTCTACAGAGCCACCATCAATCGTGACTACAAATAAGAAATACTGACAAGGTGCATGGCCATGACGCCCAGTCTCATTTCTAGATCTGTTGCTCCATGAGTGGAACTAACGGAGAGAAAAAAATCATGCACTTGGTTCTTCCACATGTGATATGTGGTTTATTTTGTAGCATTTTATGTTCATGTCCTGTCTCTGTTCATTCACATCATTTATTTCTGAAAAAAAAGAATATAGCACACCATCAACAGAGGCAGTCATGTCATGTCTTGCTCATATTCCTCCGCGGGATCAGCTGCTAGAAGTCTTGTTCCCCTCTACAGCGTCTTCTATCCTGGAGGAGGCCTTGATATTCCTCTGCACCCAAAAGACTCATCTGGGGTCATTGTCTCATCAGCTGCTCTCATAGTTAAAGCTATAGTCCCTGTGTCTTTCTGTGAACTAATCCTCATGTTGTTTTGTGGAGGCCTGAAATAACTGATATTTTTCCCCCTGTGGATCAGGATCTGCCTTCTTGCTTCCCCCGTGCAACCTCGCCCTCGTCCAGCCTACTCTGCACTCCGTGAGCCTCCCTTTTGGTTCCTTTCGTGAACTGTCCTACCTCCACCGACCTCTTGTCAGGGTCCTGCGTTTTAGAATGCAGGCCCTAACAGGCTATAATAGAGTATGTGGACTTCATAATCGTTTCTTTATTTTCAGTTGTAGAGGGAAGGGTAAAACTGTATTGCTGCAACATCATTTTCATGCGCTGGTCAATTTTGAGATTTATTTTGAGATTTTGCTTCTATAACATTTTTTTCTTTCAGACTAGTGGAAAGAAACATCCACAATAAACATTCAGGTGTTTATTTTACTACTTAGTCTATTTGTGTCTGTAGATTTCTCCAAAATGCATCAAAGGTTTCCATTCAATAATGCCTCATTTGTATATAGAACCAAAAAGTATTTGGTGAATGCCATTAAACCAACTGGGAAAGTTTCATGGTGATATATATTAGTTATTTTTTGCTGAATGTATTGAAATCTTACAATACATATCTTTTAAGTTTTTTCAGAGGGGTTTGTTCATATATAATTCATAGTCTGATTTATACAAACATTGGCCAAAATAGATTTTTTTCATGGCTATATAGTATTTTAAAAAATGTATGATACAGAGAGATATCCAAAACCCCCTCGATAAAAACCTTTGACTCTAATATGTGAACAAAATTAATTACATTTTGAAACCTGGCTTTTTGTTCAGATTTCTGTGCAGGAAATATATGCAAATTGGCACAAATTCGTGATATTGATCTGTTAAAAATGCCTATTCACCTGGGTGTCTCCCCTTGTACACATACAGATGAATTGATTGTCAGCAGTGACACAGGAATCGTAAGGCTGTCTGTGTAGCTCGGCCTGTGCTGAGCAGACAATAGGCTGTGGTTACAGTAGGGAGTAAAATGCCAATCAATTGTCTGCAGAATATTATTTTTTTTGATTGGCTTTTTCTAGAGTTTTAACTGGCTCTTGTGGAATATCAAGGGGATTAAGTTTAAGCCTCTTTAATTTAAACTAAACAAAACAATCCTTTCTGAATGGAATCTTGCCTATAGTTCTTCAAAGTTGAATGGTGCCCTCTCTGTCTGCCTGCTGACACCGCGGACACAGACCGTTGACTTGTTTTACATCCAGCTTGTGCACCGACCACATCAATTAGTCAATTATGCGTTGAGTGTCCACCCAATCACAGGGGGCAGGTTGAGCTGCTGAAGATGCTTCAGTGGTGTCGCATGGAGATGATATGCAAATGCAGCGAGGGGGCGCGTGTACAATTAAATTAGAAATGATGATGCTTTTTGGTGTTGGGACCCACAGGGCATTCTGCGAGTCCTGTTGCGAATCCATGCGTGGCCATTACAGAGCCATTTGGACAGTTTATCGATCAATTACAGTAAAAGGACCATCGACCACCACGCAGTCAATGTTCAGTGTTATATATTAAAAAAAAATACAAAAAACACGTGATGGAGCATATGTGAGAAACAAGGAGTGTTTGTTTTCTACGCCGTGAGAGCCCCGACAGTGTATCTCTCTCACACACACACACACACACACACTCTCTCTCACTCACTCTGCCTTCTCTCTGTCATCCAGCCGGGCTGCGAGAGAAACAGCTAGGAGGCGAGAGAAGGAAAACGGAGCGACGGAGATGGCGAGCGTCAACATGCCGCCGCTGCTGCTGCTGGAGCTCGCGCTGGTCCTCCTGGTCGTCCTCGCGCCCGACGTCCGAGGTCTACACGGCATCGAGGACCAGAGCCAGGACACCGAGTGCAAGATGAAGAGCGTCACCGTGTCGGCGCTGCCGTTTCTGCGGGAAAACGACCTGAGCATCATGCACAGTCCGTCGGCCTCCGAGCCCAAGCTGCTGTTCTCCGTGAGGAACGATTTCCCCGGGGACGTTGTGGTGGTGGACGACCTGGAAAACACCGAGCTCCCCTTCTTCGTCCTCGGTGAGTTCTTGAAAACACGACGGTGTCCGCGGTTCATTAGCCGCCAATTGGGCTGATTAAACCCCCTCACTCTTGTTCTTTACACCGGAGCAGCTGTCTGTTAGCTTAGGCCTGGTTCCATACCATGTGTTCACTGCTTCCAAAAACACTTTCGGCTATATAGCAGCCATAATTAATAACTAACGCCATTAGGCTGCGTTCATATGTCATAATTAGTCAGCGGACTGTTATGATAAGGCTGTGGTGAGCTAAATCAACACTTAGCACTTCATATTGCACTAATAGGCCGCATAGCATCCTAATGCTAACAAAATAATATATGTTTGTCCCCCATTGAACTATTAATCCAGCGATACATTTCTAAGAGCAGCGTCCCTTTCATGCCTTGTGTCTTATGTTCTCTCTCGCGTGAGCGTACACGCGTGGCTCGGTCAGCTACATGTGTTGCTGCTACCTGCTAGTTAGCACACTAGCAGGTGTGCAGCCAAACTCCTGTCACTTTAGTGCAACTTTAACCGCGTATCTGTTTCTGTTGTCAACCGGTCTAAGTCTTCAGGTGTGTTGGTCCCTCTGTGCTGTCATTGTCCGATATGTTTTGTAACTGATTGAAACGCTACAGTTCACGCTGTCTTGTTAGTTTTCAGGCTTTATAGAACCAAACTTTTAACCAAGTTTAGACAGAACCAAGTCCACTCTCACTGGGCCTGAGGTTATGTTTGAATAACAGGGAGTTTGGCAGAGAGCGTTGTAGAAGTGAGCTGGCCGCTGTCCATGGTGCTGAATGTCCTCGGAGCCGCTGGGAGGATCTCCCTCTGCCGTGTGAGCACTGAGGCACACTGGGTGGCTCTGCAGGGTTTGCAATGTTACATTTGTACACCCAGTTTTGTCAACTTTGTCTTTTTGGATGTTTTAGTGATGATTTAGTATTACTGCTGGCTCCTGGCCCTGATGGTACAGTTATTTAGTAGAGTACTGGCCCCAAGGCTACGATCAACGTGTGTGTGTGTGTGTGTGTGTGTGTGTGTGTTGGCTGGTAAATGTACTGAGCCGCCTCATCTGTCCATGTGTCTTTGTTGTCACTTTTCAAAGCAGTTGCCTGTTTTTTTTAAATGCCCTTTTCATGCCTACATGTTACACAGATACTGTAGTTGTCTCTCTCGTGGCAGATGTGAGCATGCACTTTGCACTGTGTGGCTGAGGAAATAAGCAGTAGATTGTTACATAGGTTATTTTAAAAATCACATAGGGTTTAGAAAACCTACAGATATCACAGATCAGGCAATTATCAGCATCATTTCGTCTTACCTTCATCAGCACACATTAAACAGGCTGATGGTTGAGAGGAAAGGGGGTGATGTGCAACTGGATTTGAACTGATTACATGTCTGGCATCTTAATCCTCTAGACCACCATGACAATCATGGATGTTTGAGTTTTCGGCCAGCATACAGTATTACGAATTCAATACTGTAATACTACTAGAACTAAGAAGAATTCATTTCCCGCTTAGCTTTAAATCACCCGCATTCAGGTTTTTTTTGTCCAACCGGCTCAAACAACACATGCAATTATGCGAACTGCAACAAATTTTTATTTTCCTTCAATTAATCTGTTAATGGTGTATGCTTCAAAGTGTCCGAAAATAGTGAAAAATGGCTATTACAGTTTCTCAGATCCCAAGGTGAGGTCTTTAAATTGCTTTTTTTTTGTGACCAAAACTCAAAGATATGCAGTTCCCAAGGGCTCAACAATAGGGATTGCCCAATTTCCTGGAGCAAGTAAATGCCATGTCCGGCTAGTAAATCTATCAACTCACTTTCCCGATTGGGCAAGTTTTAAAATTAAAAAATAAATAATATTTTTTTTCCAGAGCTGATGATGGAAGTGGCTGAGGAGTGAGCCATCTTGCTTCCTTCTCGTCTCTGCTGAGAGTTGCACATGCTCAGTACTGATCGAGCACTCGAGAAAAAATGGCGGCGGGTAAAGAAGAAGCTGATGAGTTGAAGCCCGAGCACACATTTCAGTCATTCTTTTACTGAAATAAGGATTCAACTTGACAATTTGTTTTTGATATTTGATTACTGCAAATGTGTGTCTAGGGCAAGTAAAAACTGACAGGACAAAATCTGAAATGGTTGGCCAATTTTTTTTTTACTTACCTGAAAGCTTTTGATACTTGATGCTACAGACACATTGGGTTTGGTACTCTATACTATAGAGGTTCCAGACCCAGTATTATTGAGTGTTTACGCCATGTGGTTCAGACAGCAGTTAATTCATTACGGGGAGGAGGGAAATAAGCTGAGGTAAAAGCACAAGCGATCTCTCAGGACCGTCGTTGCATATTAAAGAGTCCGAATTCCTGTCTGACATTTCCTTAACGTAGCACTCTGCTCCAGGACGGAAAACGTTTGAACCAAAAGTCCCATCGGGGAGGCCCGACACAGGTACGGCATCGCCGGACCCAAGTTTGAACACTGGAGCAGCTGCAGCCTTTCATTTATCTATTGTTTGTCTCTTTTGTCTGTTGCTTGATTTCCTCTGCTGGCTAACAAAAACCTCTTTGAATCACAAACCAGAACTTTCACCCGTCGTGTAAACGTCTTCTCAGGACACTAAATCAATTAAACATTGTGCGTCCATATCGCTAACGAGCAGTAATTACATTTCACCGGTGTTTGAGCAGCGCTGTCATAAGACGTTAGTGGAGGCACCGAGCTCTCTCTGGCTGCCCAGTTGTCGCCGCCTCACGCTAGCCGTCTCCGGGGCTGTTTGAGTCTGCCCCGGCCTTGCTGGGATCAGTGCAGGACGTGGTTCCTTCAGCAGCAAACATGCTGTGTGGGACATTTTGTGTGTCCAACGTAAACACACGGTGAAGGGTAGGCCGGGTCAGCAGCAATGGTGACAGCTTCCTTTTGAGCTGACGGGATTAGATTTTGGAGCACTTTACCGTATCTGCTCGCAGCTTCATGAGGTAAGATGGTCTTTAGGTTTGAGGATCTAACTGGATACGGCGCAGGTCTGTGTTTATCAAAGTTGTTGCCACGTCTCCGGATAGTTAAGCAACGTCGTGTTGGATTTGATATTCCACCCAAAATCTGTGATTTTGTGTTCAGGAGGGGTACAATGGTACGTGTATTCAGAGTTAGAGAGGCACCAATTGCATTTTTGTTGGCCTATTCTGAATTCCAATTTTTTGAAAGTCTGAAGTGCCGTTTCTGATTTTCACTGATCTGATAATCTTTTATAATGTTCACCGCCGTCCCGGAACTGTCCCCATCAATAATTTCAGAAATCAGTGTAAACCATCAAAAATCTTTTTACTTTGTTATTGTCAAGTATATAGGGATCTATATTTGTAGAAAACAAGCAATTCAAATGAATAGGACATGATTGTTTTTTTATTTATTTAAATATTTGCTTTGATAAAAATAATTGTCATTAGTAGTTCTATTGATGTAATACGAGTAGGGATGCCCCCCCGATACCCGGTTCTAAACGGAAACCGATAAGACAGTAAATACACAGAGTATTGTTGCGGTCCAGAGTTAGCGGTTCTGCTATCGGTACTTTCTTAGTTCTGGACTGAGACGTCCTCGTCTCAAACGTCCTCTCTCTGTCTCTTTGTCTTTGTCTCCGGCTCAGTACAGCGTGAGACTCCCATCAGGATCAGAGAGAAGAAAACATTGTAGAACTCTGGTCGTCTCAAACACAATAAAACAACATGTGACCAACAAGCAGAACATCTGTCTGTTTGTGGAGCAGCTGTCAGGTAACGGTAATGATGTCACATGTTAGTGATGTCATACCTTAGTGATGTCATACGGAGTTTGATCAGAAGAACAGGAACATCAATGAAAGATAATCACTGAGATCATTGATTAGCTGAGAACGTAATTCAAGAATTTGGGAACTTCTTGTAGATTGTCGGGCTGAGGCTGCAGATAATTTGCTCAAAGTGCTGCTTCCCTGCTGTAAAACCCCTCCATGTGCACATCGTGTGGTAGTTTGTTTGGAGCTCCACTCACATATTGTCCTTTGTTTTTCTGCTTTGCATTCCAATTGTAACAGCTGGCAGAAGGTATCAAAAGATCCGCAGAAAGTTCTCAGAACACTCGTGGAGCATGATTTGCTTCATCTCCCGACCATATGCTGAGCGTACCAAGTATACTGTTCACTGCTTTTTGTTACAGTCGGGACAAATGCCAGTGTTTGTAACATACAGTATGGAGAAGATGTATGGATAGTGGAGTAGACTGTACTCCTCATTTCAGTCCTACAGATGAGGAGCGTTTGACAGGAAAGAGACTGAGCATCACTTTGTGCAGGTTTTGACTTAGGACCCTGACCTCTTTAATCAGTTCCCCCCCCCACCCCCCACCCACCAGCCAGCAGCGAGGCCTCATCAGGACTGTGCTCATCCTCGGTTAACCCCGAGTGATTATTTGAGTGTTTGAAGCCCTTGGAGACACAGATCAGACATTTTCTTTAAAGCGATGCTCTCAATGTTCTAGTTGAAGGCGGGAACCATAAAGCTGTTAAGCCTCATTTTGGGAGGAGGGGAAAAAAAGGATATCTTGTCATGAGGCTCGCTGAGATTCTTTTATTTTCCGTAGCCCGTCAACCTCTTTTGAAGTAACATCATTTAAAGTGTATCTGCTTTTAAATGTGTGCGCGAGTGGTGGGTTGGGTGCCATTTAAATTCCACCCCCCCCCACCACCACCACCACCTTTTACAGTGGCTCACATTTTTCTCGCCAAATTGCTTCTCTGAAGCAGCTTAGAAGCAATTTGAAAAGGGGATATTCTGTGACTGACAGTAAATTTTAGCTGCAGGACCCGCAGCCACTCGTTAGTGTCAGAGAAGCCTGGTCGCCTTATTAGGAATTTACCCCTTTCAATGTTGCGCCATAAATTGTGCGGGGGGTGAGGTAATAAAGTCGCCCTCCGGCACGGACCGGAGCTGTGTTTGCTCTGGCAGTGATTTGCACATCTGGGCC